TTTTTAACATGACAAACAAATATTAATGTATTGATCTTGGTTTTGATTTTGGCATTAAACAATGTTGCTTATTAATTACTATCAATGTTGCTTATTATCAACTTGGAAGTAGAATATTTTGGAGGCCAGATATAGCGACTTTCTTTTGGCCCTAGCTTAATTGACATATAGACTTTCTAGGTAAAGAGTCATACAACAATTTGATGGCAATTTATCTGCTTTTGTCACTTCAAAGAGTTCAATGAATTTGGGCTAGATATTTTTTCTACTTGTTGCAGAATAAAACTATCAAAGTGATTTCATAGATTTGTATGGAGAAAATATATACCAATATTTTTTTATTAAATATGAACTTGTAGAGAAAACATATTGAAAAGTTTCAAAGTTTGGGAATAGGTATTACAAAGGAACCTTCCAGAGAATAAAAGGTTTCTAAAAGAGATGGATTTAGGATGTGTACCTTCTTCTGGCTTATGTAGCTCAATAAATTATGGTTGTGTTATGCCTAAAAAACAGGGTTGATGTAGCTCAAACTAGCAGGGCCAATCGAGTTTAAGAAGGCTTTGTGTCGTCTAGACGTTGCCACATCGCGAAGAACGGAAGAGGTAAGGCTATCGTCAGTGTGTGGTAGGTAATGTCAAGCTTGTGAGTGGTTAGGAATTATCCACCATCCAAGCCCTATGCGATTTAAGGATGTCTCCCATGCAAACAACCAATGGGAAGCGGGTTAGGATTGTACCACACCTGCTTGACTGCAGAATCATGATTACTACCTTGACCCCAAACTATAAATAGAAGGCTCCTCTCTCATTTACAGGATTGACTCATCTTAGTCTTCAGAAGCATACACTCTCTCTCTCTCTCTCTCTCTCTCTTCTCTCTCCTCTCTCTCTCTCTCTCTCTCTCTCTCTCTATATATATATATATATATTATAATATATATATATATATATATTTTGATTCTCTCGAGATTGTAATTCAGCTTGCTGTATGCAACCTACTGTACCATCTATTAATATGGTAGCGTGCTGACTGCACAGATTAATTAACCTTACTAACCTAACTCTTGAATTGTATAAACGCAAGCAAGGGGCGTCCCACAGAATGACTCTATTATTTCTATATTCTAAAATAATAAAAACAGCAAAATGCATTAAACTCTAAACAGTAAACCTGGCAACAGTAATAAAACGGGTTTGTGATCAAGGCAAACTAAAGCAACAGAGATAAAAAATATCAGGTTAAACAACAGTTCTCGATTCAATATCCACCTAAACATGCATTGGACATAAAGTAACCGTAACACTGTTCTATCTCGTCATTATGGAACTACTGACCCTAGGAAACAACAAGCTCTGTTACCCAAATTCTCCCTTAGTTTGTCACTACTGAAACAAGCTCTTCGAGTAGATACTAACCCTTGAACAACCTAGAACAACCTCTCTAAATTTAATTTAATGGCAGCCTTAAGAATTAGGAAAATAGATCAATCTAGCAACAATCACACAAGCTCGGATTATTTAACTTAGGTTATGTTATTCAAGACAATAGACCGAAAACTTGTCCATAATCAGCTATCATCATGCATCACTCGTTGATAGAAAAAGGACGATTACGTATCACAATTCCTAATTCTAACAGGTAAATTCTGATTAAACAATTTAGCAGCCAAAACTAAATCACTCAATCAAGAATCACAGACAATTAAATCAGAATACATAAACAATTCTTAACAAACGAGATGAGAACAATGTTACTGAAGTTAAGTTACACCAATGACATAATTAGGCTTCAAAATCCCTTGAACTGAAGAAGGAAATTAGCCACCATCTTGATCTAGAAAGCAAAAACTCTGAACAATCAAACCTACTGTCCTCTCCCCCGTTTAACCTAAAAACTTCTAATTAAATAACATGTTTTTCCTTAATTCTTCCCAGGAATCACGGAATTTCTTTCCAGACGTTTCCTAGAGATAGACTTCCAGATTTGACAAAATCTTATCAGATATGGATTCCAGAATTCGTCTCCAGCTTGCACCAGGATTCTCGCAATGTAAACGATCTTTTCTGGGCTCTATCACTTCATAAAAATTGTAGTCCAGGATGTGTAGATGAATCTGGGCTTTTGAATCACCCTTTTTCGATATCTGACACTCCAGTTAGGCCCGTTCGAAGATCCAATACTCAACTAAGGAATCCTTCTGCGACTAGGATTCCAGGTCCGGTTTTGTAAAACTACTGAGAACCCAAACAAACTTGGATTCTCGCCCATAATACCTTCCTGAAATTCGTCTACTTTAATTTCTTTGAAGAACACTTTTGCAATCGAGGAATCTAGCTCCCTAAAAAACCTGAAAAACGTAGTACTGATCAGAATAACGAAAAATCTGGAAAATCTGGAATTTCCTAATCTTTTCTCAATTATTTCCTAAAGTCTATCCAAAAATGCCAAACTTACAAAATAAGCTCTAATCAGCTCAACTAGGCATAAAACATAACAAAAACATATTATGGAAGGAATAAAAATATCTAAATTACGCTCTTATCATAATACAACCATAGTGGATGTGGGATTCACTTTTGAGCATCCGAACCACTTTAAAAACCGCTTCTCATTTATTCTTTTATTACACATTTCTATATCACATGTAATTTCTAAGTCCGCTTAGCACTTTACACGTGTGAGTCATTGGTGTCAAAATCAAGCATCAACAAGTTGTAATTTGTAACCCGAGGATGTCTTTTATGCAATTGTCAGCAATGCAGACTTTGATGGTTATAATTTTTATTTGCTTTCATGCCGTGCAATTTTTTATAGCTAGACAAGCAAACTTAGCTCCAAATTGGACCATTATGTCTTTAAATGTTATAAAACATTGAAGCACACATTAATTTATGCCTCCTGTGGTTAAATAAGAGAAATCGATCTCTCATTGCAGGCCTCCGCATGTTGCTTTCTGTGATGAAATGCGGATGCAAAATGCATATTCCTTCAACTTTATTGAACTGTAGCTAGTTCTGATCAAAACTTCTCATATTTTATTACTAGTTTCTGCATATATAAACATATGTCAGCTATGAACCATTTGGCCTGCGTTTAACATGCCACATAAGTCTTTCGAGGAGTTATATATACTTCAATATATTATGAGGAAGACCAGACAAGGATTCAACAAATCTTGCACACATCATGGCTCAGACATGTATTCTTAAAACCTTAAATCTGTTAATTCATTGTTTTACTATCTACGCATGATCTTGTAGTCGTTTTGGATGTTGAATTTTCGCGTTTTCTAACAATTTCTTCTTCAAGTACTAATATTGTTTTTCCATCTTATTGTAAGAAGGCTTCTCATTTTGGTGTACCATTTTTTTTATCTCCAAAAGGTTCTTCTTGTTATAATTCACAAACAAGTGTACCAATATTTCTAATAAAGATACCTTGTTATGCCATAGGCTTGGACACCCTTATATGTATGTTCAAATTCTACAGCATGTTGTTTCTAAACCTCACTCTTTTAAGTCTTTTGTGCATAATATTTAATGTTGTATGTTGAACTTGTAAAATGTAAATATCAATCTTCTTTTCCTCTCTCTCTCTCTCTCTCAGTATGTTGTGCCTAAAAAATCACGCTGATGTCAGCTCAACAAGTGCCTAAAAGACAAAGTGTATTAGCTGTAAAGCCCATACCACCTCATAGATATTTATATCAACTCTATCTCATTTTAAAATAAGGACAAATGAGAGTTCTCCATGTGTCAAGGCAACTTGCAAAAGCACTCATTACATTGACCTCAAAGGTATATAAATGGGCACCTCTCTTCGTAAAAGGGGAGACTGGACATATGAAAGCTAGGCATAGATTTGAGCTTTCTTATTTTTCTCCAAAACAAAGTTTTTCTCCATCTTTGTATGCCTTACAGGCAATATCATAAAATAGCAAAATAACAGTGGATGTAGGATTCTCTTTAAGCATCCGAACCACTTTAAAAACCTCTCTTGTCAATCTTTTATTTATGTTTCTGCAACATATATAATCTCAACACCATATTAAAATCTCATGAATCCGTCACGTGTAATTTCGAAGACTCTCTTAGCACTTTACACGTACGAGTCGTTGGTGTCAACATCAAGCTTCAACACAATCTAAGATATTAGCTCTATTTGAATCAGTCTTCTCTGACCTGTGGGGAGATGCTCTCCAAAGAAGGTTATAGATATTAATCTTCTCTGGTTCTTTGGGTTTATCATCTAAAAAAAATTGTGATCCAGATTTTGTCCAACCAAACAAGGGAATGGGTTTATTCCACAAACCAAACACCCCCATAGTTCCCAACCTAATTTCCACGCAACTATGCTCAATCCGACAAAGACTTTAAGTCTTCAATGCTAATCAATTCACTTTTCTCCAAAAGATTGAATTTTTCTTAAATATGGTGGTGATGTGATAATCTCCATTTCTAGACCACGAATTCACCCATCAAACTTTTTTTTTTTTTTAAAGCCTCCATGTCCTCACACTTGAAGATATAAGACTATTTTTCAATCTGGACTTGGGTAAATATCCTTGGCTATGAATTGCTTTTAGGGAGATTCGAACTCCTCACATTGTAGGTAAAATTCGTCCATTAGAAATCCAATTACCAGCTATAGTATATACATATATTCATGAAAATTATAGGATGCAGACGTTTTAAGATTTTTAATATGAGAAATAAATATTAATGTATTGATCATTGGATTTTGATTTTAGCATTAAACAATGTTGCTCATTATCAACTTAGAGGTAGAATATATGTGGAGGCCAAATAATAGCGACTTCTCTTTTAGCCCTAGCTTAAATTGACATATAGACTTTTTAGGTAAAGAGCCATACAAAAATAATTTATGGCAATTTATTTGCTTTTGTCACTTCAAAGAGCTCAATGCATCTGACTATCTGAGACTAGAAATTGATTCTAACTTACAATTAATACAGAGTTCTAATCACAGACCGAGAGATGGAGAATGAAGGAAAGAGAAGTGACCGATTGGTACTGGTCCCAGGTTCATTCCAGGGACACCTCAACCCAATGCTTCAACTGGGCACCATTCTTTACTCTCAGGGCTTCTCCATCACAGTTGCACACACCAAATTTAATTCCCCCAACCCTTCAAATCACCCTGATTTCAATTTCCTAACCATCTCGTATGCCGCGTATGATAGCGACCTCTCCTCAGGGAATATACTAGCTTTAATTTTGCGTCTCAATGTCAATTGCAAAGCTCCTTTTCAAGAATGTTTGGCTCGGTTGATGGAGAAACAGAATTCGGATGAAGAGAAAATCTCCTGCATCATCTATGGTGAACTCATGTATTTCTCTGAAGTAGTGGCTAATGAGATGAAGCTTCTGAGCATTATCTTGCGCACAGGGGGTATAACCGCCTTCATTTCTCGCGATGCCACTGTCCCACAGGCAGAAGGTAACAATTTCTTCCAAGGTATGTGCCAAAGTCTGCTTGCTTAAAATTTTTTAATGAAACTTTTGGTTTCCATTAAAAGACTTCACTTGAGATTATAATGCAAATAGTATCTAACAACACTTCAAATTACAGGTCTTGGATCAAAAGACATAGTGCCTGGATTTTATCCCCTCATGTTAAAGGATCTACCTTTTTCGAAATTCGGGTCATTAGAAACTATGACACAAGTGGTGAAAGAGTTGCGCAATACTGGAAAGTCTTCAGCTATCATCTATAACACAATAGACTTCCTTGAGCAATCATCACTGGCGAGGACCCTACAACAATGCCACATTCCACGCTTCTCCATAGGCCCTCTGCATAAATTTGCTCCAGCCTTATCAAGTATCTTGTTCGACGAAGATATCAGCTGCATGAGATGGCTTGACGAGCAAACTAATGATAACACAATAATATATGTAATCTTGGGAAGCATAACACAGATTGATGAGAATGAGCTAGCTGAAATGGCATGGAGCCTAGCCAACAGCAATCAGCCTTTCTTATGGGTGGTTCGACCGGGCTCAGAGCGTGGCTCAGAATGGATCGAGTCATTGCCTTAAGGTTTTGAAGAAGCTATCGGACAACGAGGGTGCATTGTGAAATGGGCACCCCAGAAGCAAGTGTTGGCCCATGCCAAAGTGGGAGGGTTTTGGAGCCACTGTGGATGGAACTCAACAATGGAAAGTATAAGTGAAGGTGTTCCAATCATCTGTAGACCAAACTCTGGAGACCAGAGGGTGAATGGAAGATATATAAGTAATGTGTGGAGAGTGGGATTGGAAATGGAGAATGAGTTGAATAGAAGGGAAGTAGAGAGAGAAGTAAGAAGACTAATGGTTGATAAAGAAGGATTGGAGATTAGGCAGAATGCCAAGGAATTGAAGGAGAAGATTCAACTTTGCGTTAGGGAAGGTGGCTCTTCTTATAATTCCTTGAATGAGTTAGTAAAATTCATCAAGTCACTTTGATTGTATTTGATTGCTTATTTTAGTTAATGAAGTTCTGTTGGTTTTGCAAGAGAATAAACTGATGAAAGAGAGATAAACGAAGGCTGGAAACAGGCCCGGCTTAACCCTTAGCTGCCTAGGGCCCCCAAAATTATATTTTAAAATACTTTTTAATATATTTATAATTTTTTTTTTTCATCAATCCCACCATTTTGCATTTACTCGCCTATGCCTACCTTTAACCTCTATCTCTACCCAAAATGATTTTTTTTAAGAGTTTTTTAATATAATAATTTCTAAATCCCCATCAATTCTCCCATCCAATCAACCATGCCTATCTCTTAAACTTAAAACACAAATGGCGGCTCACTTTTCCGTTGCAATTTGAAACACTATCACGCAACTCTCCAACTCTTAAATGTCAAATCACGTCTCATCTCTCCCCCAAATCACATCTTTTATATAAACTTCATTTTATTCAAGGTTTTCTCATCCTTTCACTCTTATTATTCTACCTCAGTTTACTCTCGTCTCTCCTTTCTCATCTATTTTACTCTTTTGTCTCTCATTTCTCATCTATTGTCTCTCCTTTCTTATCTTTATTACATGAATTTATGAAGTGAAAGTGATTTATATTATTATTTTTATGCAAGGTAATATTAAAAGTTTTAAATCATTTTACTCTTAGCATTGTTAACTGATTTTACTTTATATTTGATTAAGTGATTTACATTATTATTTTTATGCAGGGTAAAAATATAAGATTTTTGAGTATTAGCACAGCAAAAAGCAAAATCAGGAGCATAAATCAGGTGCTAAAATTCCTTCTTAATTTTTATAATTATTTTTATTTTAGCAAAATATTAAGAGCTCTAAATTATTTATTCTTTGAATATAAATGTCTACTAGGATTTGAAGGGTGTGGAGATTGGAAAAATCTTAGTGTCAAGCTTAAAAGTCTCGAAATAAGTAATGAACATGCTATAAATATGAATATTTGGGTTGATGTTGAGATGAGATTGCTTAAAAACAAAACAATTGATAAATATTTACAAGAGAAAATAAATAAAGAGAAAGAGCATTAGAAGAATGTATTATTAAGAATTATAGCGATTGTAAAAAATCTTTCAAAAAATAATTTGGCATTTCGTGGTACAAATGAGAAGATTTATCAAGAAAATAATGGAAATTTTTTAAGTTTAATTGAAATGATTGCTGAGTTTGATCCAATAATGCAAAAACAACTTAGACGTATTCAAAATGAAGAAATTCATACTCATTATCTTGGTCATAATATACAAAATAAGTTAATAAATATTTTAGCATTAGAAATAAGAAGTACCATTATTAAAAAAAATCAAAGAATCAAAATATTTTTCAGTTATACTTGATTGTACCCCAGATACAAGTCATTAAGAACAAATGTCACTTATATTAAAATGTGTAGATATTTTAATAAGTCCAATAAAAATAGAAGAGTACTTTATAGATTTTATAAAAGTAGATGATACTTCTGGTCAAGGTCTTTTTAATGTTCTCACAAGTATATTAAAAAATCTTGAACTTGATGTAAATAATGTGAGAGGACAAGGATATGATAATGGGTCTAATATGAAAGATAAACATCAAGGTGTGTAAAAAAAGATTATTAGATATAAATTCTAGAGCATTTTATACACCATGTGGTTGTCATAGTCTTAATTTAGTTCTTTGAGATATGGCTAATTCATGTGCTAATGCTATTACATTTTTTGGAGTGATACAACGTATATACTCATTATTCTCTTCTTCTACAAAACGATGGAAAATTTTGCAAGATCATGTTTCTAATTTGACACTTAAGCCATTATCACAAACACGTTGGGAAAGTCGTGTTGAAAGTGTTAAAGCAATAAAATTTCAAACTCCACAAATAAGAGATGTTTTATATCAATTAGCAGAAACTAGTGAAGATCCTAAAACAAAAAGTGAAGCTATTTCTTTAGTAACGTATGAGATTGAAAATTTTGAATTTCTATTAGACATGAATATTTGGTATGAAATGTTATTTGCTGTTAATGTGGTTAGTAAATATTTACAATCTAAAAATATGGACATTGTTGTTGCAACAGATCAGTTGAAAGGTCTTGTTTCATTTTTTAAAAAATATAGAGAAAATGGGTTTACATCTTCTATAATTTCTACTAAAGAGATTGCAGAGCAAATGAATATAGAACCAAAATTTTATGAAAAATGTATAATAAAAAGAAAATAAACAATTTGATGAGAATGAAAACGAAGAGATGAAATTGTCTGCTGAAGAATCTTTTAGAATAAATTATTTCACATATTTAGTTGATCATGCCATTTCCTCACTTCAAAGTAGGTTTGAACAATTTGAAATATATAGTAATAATTTTGGTTTCATTTATAATATAGAAAAGTTAAAATTGCTTAATGATGATAGTTTGCTGAAATATTGTTTAAATCTTAAAAACTTTTTAAAACATGACATGCTCTCTGATATTGATGGTTTAGATTTATATTCAGAATTAAAAGTTTTAAAAGAAATTATAAACGTAGAAATTAAAACACCACTTGAAATACTAGATTTTATAAAAAAGGTAAATTCTTTTCCAAATGCATGGATAGCTTATAGAATACTGTTAACTATTCCTGTTACTGTACCTTCAACAGAAAGAAGTTTTTCAAAATTAAAGTTAATAAAAACTTATTTGCGTTCAACTATGTTACAAGAAAGATTAGGTAATTTAGCTATATTATTAATTAAAAAAGATTTAGTTTCTAAACTTGAATATAAAAATTTAATTAGTGATTTTATATCTCAAAAGGCAAGAAAAATAAATTTAAAATAATTTTTTAATATATACTTATATTATTAGAAGGTTCTTAAAATAACTCTTGTTTAGGGCCACAAATATTATTGAGACAGCCCTGGCTGGAAAATATGCCATGTTTTGCATTCAAAAAAAACAGGGATGATATATACAATAACCTGCCACTGTTTCACCTAAAGTCAGCAGCAATCAATCGAATACTCTAGCGTTCTTAGAAACAATATGGCGCTGATTCCAAGCTTCTTCGGCAACCAACGCAGCAGTATCTTCGATCCCTTCCCTCTGGATGTTTGGGATCCATTTAAGGACTTTTCTTCACTCTCCACTCATTTCCCTCAAGAAACCTCTGCTTTTGTCAACTGCCGCATAGACTGGAGGAAACCCTGGAGGCTCACGTGCTCAAGGCCGATCTTCCAGGGCTCAAGAAAGAACAAGTGAAGGTGGAGATCGAAGATGACAGGGTGCTTCAAATTAGTGGAGAGAAGAATATAGAGAAGGAAGACAAGAACGACACATGGCATCGTGGAACGTAGTAGTGGGAAATTCTCCAGGAGGTTTCAGCTACCGGAGAATGTGAAGAGGATCAAATTAAGGCTTCTATGGAGAACGGAGTCCTTACTGTCACTGTTCCCAAGGTTGAGGTTAAGAAACCTGACGTCAAGGCCATTGAAATCTCTGTTTAAAACGCTGAATGTTGTGTTTAAGAGCAATGCTATGGATTGTCTATATGAAATTCATGTAAACGCAATGGAGTTTTGCCGAGAATTAATATTGCCAATCGTTGTAAATTTGAAATATGATACTGGATTTTTAGTAATTAATTGATTTATATATTGATTTTTGGGCATAAAAATTTTAGTCCAAAGCAGTCATAAAGTAACACTTGGGTCCTCATAAATCAGAATATAAAGTAACACTTGGGTCCTCGTAAATCAGAATATGGACACTGGATAGAATGAAACATGTTTAGAAATATCAAAGTGACAAGTAATATTCTGCAAATATATGAAAAAATTACTTCTTCACATGGAACAGATCATATTTTCCACCCCAAAAGAAGGAAACGTAAACATATATTGCTTGTTGAAATACAACATATATTTGTAACTCTCAATATATATATCCGTATTACCATTACAGTGCAAAGAAGAAATAGCACGCTACTGCAATGGTCTCAACCAATAGTTCAGCAGAGAAGAAAGAACAATTTTAGAGGTTTTTTTTCTTTTTTTCTTTTTTTCTTTTTTTCTTTTTTTCTTTTTTTTAAAGGGACGATTGAAAAAGAGACCTACCCATCCTGGGACACCAAACCGCCTTGAAGTAATCCATAAAATCTGAGCCATCCACGAAGTCCTCCATGCAATTCTCAAACGAATCCACAGTAACGTGACCTTTACAGACGCCATTCACAGCCTGCCCAAGCTGTTTCAAAATCTCAGCACACATCTCTATATCTGAGCATCTCTTCACTAACTTCTTGTGCCATGCATGGCGGACCCGCCAGAAAGAAATCAACACAGAGCACTGAAAAACATCAGGACCAAATGAACACCAATACCTACTGAATCAACGGGATCACTTAAATACAGAAAATGAGACAGTTCACATGTGGAAAATTGAAACCTAGAGGAGGTCTAATTATTAACTTCGCGAATTTACCACAAAGCCCCAGAGGCTTCATTAACTAAACAGAAGAGATTTTCGCACGAAAGTACCAGAATTTTCCATCAGACTAAAAACCCTAACACTCTCCCGTTTTAGATCATCGGAGACAATTCTTCAAAGTTGAAACATCAAACTCAGCAATCAAATCTAATACTCTCGCATTGTCAGAAACCATATGGCATTGATTCCGAGCTTCTTCGGCAACCAACGCAGCGGTATCTTTGATCCCTTCTCTCTGAATGTTTGGGATCCATTTAAGGGCTTTTCTTCACTCTCCACTCGTTTCCCTCAAGAAACCTCTGCTATTGTTAACACGCGCATAGACTGGAGGGAAACCCCGGAGGCTCACGTGTTCAAGGCCGATCTTCCAGGGCTCAAGAAAGAAGAAGTGAAGGTGGAGATTGAAGATGACAGGGTGCTTCAGATTAGCGGAGAGAGGAATGTAGAGAAGGAAGACAAGAACGAGACATGGCATCGTGTGGAACGTAGTAGTGGGAAGTTCTCCAGGAGGTTTAAGCT